AAGCATCTTTAACAAATGGTGCTGGCATAACTGGATGTCAACCTGTAGAAGAATGAAAATAGATCCATATCTATCACCATGCACAAAACTCAAGTCCAAATGGATTAAAGACCTCAACATTAATCTGACCACATTGAATCTGATAGAAGAGAAAGTGGGAAGTAGTCTACAAGACATGGGCACAGGAGAGCACTTCCTAGGTAGAACCCTAGTAGCACAGACAATAAGAGCAACAATGAATAAGTGGGACCTCCTGAAACTGAGAAGCTTCTGTAAAGCAAAAAACACTGTCATTAAGACAAAAAGGCAACCTACTGATTGGGAGAAGATCTTCACCAACCCCTCATCAGACAAAGGTCTGATCTCCAAAATATACAAAGAACTCAAGAAACTAGACATTAAAACTCTAATTAACCCAATTAAAAAATGGGGTGCTGAACTAAACAGAGAATTCTCAACAGAAGAACTTTGAATGACCAAAAGGCACTTAAGGTCATGCTCAACCTCCTTAGCGATCAGGGAAATGCAAATCAAAACCACTTTGAGATACCATCTTACACCTGTCAGAATAGCTAAACTCAAAAACACCAATGAGAGCCTTTTCTGGAGAGACTTGGAGTGAGGGGAACACTCATCCATTGTTGTTCAGAATGCAAACTTGTGCAGCCACTTTGGAAATCAGTGTGGCAGTTTCTCAGGAAACTGGGAGTCAACCTACCTCAGGACCCAGCAATTCCACTCTTGGGAATATACCCAAGAGATGCCCTATCATACTACAAAAGCATTTGTTCAACTATGTTCATAGCAGCACTATTTGTAATAAACAGAACTTGGAAACAACGTAGGTGCCCCTCAATAGAAGAATGGTTAAAGAAGGTATGGAACATATACACATTAGAGTTTTACTCAGCAGTAAAAAAACAATGACATCTTGAATTTTGCATGCAAATGGATGGAAATAGAAAATGCTTTACTGAGTGAGGTAACCCAGCCCCAAAAAGAGGAATATGGTATGTACTCACTCATAAGTGAATTCTAACTATAATTAAAGGACTTCAAGCCTATAATTCGTGATCCTAGGGAAGCTAAATAAGAAGGTGAACCTAAAGAAAATCATGTAGTTATCCTCCTGGATATTGGAAGTAGACAAGATTTCCAGACAAAACTTGGGTGCACAGAGGGGTGTGTGTGTGGGGTGGATGTAAGAGGAGATGGGTAGAGAGAAGGGAGAAGAGGAGGATTGGGGAAAGCTTGGGGGAATGGGATGGGTGGGATGGAGGAAGGGTGGATATGGGAGCAGGGAAATAAATATCTTAATTAAGGGAGCCATTTTAGAGTTTGCAAGAGACTTGTCTCTAGAGGGGTTCCCAGGTCCAAGGAGAGGTCCCCAGATTGTTCCTGGGCAGCAGAGGAGAGGGTTCCTGAACTGGCCTTGTCCCACAGCCACACTGATGAATATCCTGCATATCACCATAGAACCTTCATCTGGCGATGGATGGAGATAGAGACAGAGACCCACATTGGAACACTGGACTTAGCTCCCAAGGTCCAAAAGAGGAGCAGAAGGAAGGAGAACATGAATGAAGTCAGGATCACGAAGGGTACGTCCACCCACTGAGATGGTGGGACTGATCTAGTGGGAGCTTACCAAGGCCAGCTGGACTGGGAGTGATGGAGCATGTGATCAAAATGGACACTCTGAACGTGGCTGGCAATGGAGGCTGACTGAGAAGCCAAAGACAATGGCACTGGGTTTTTATTCTACTGCATGGACTGACTTTGGGGAAGCCTGTTTTGTTTGGATGCTCACCTTTATAGACTGTATGGAGGGGGAGGACCTTGGACTTCCCACGGGGCAGGGAACCCTGACTGCTCTTAAGACTAGAGAGGGAGGAGAAGGTGGGGAAGGGGAGGGAGGGAAACGGGAGGTGGGGAGGAGGTGGAAATTTTTAATATATAAATTAATTAATTAAAAAAATATTGCTCAGTGGGTAGCATTTAGTATGATGACCTGAGTTTGCTCCCTGGGAAATCAATCCCTACACATGCCTCATGGAACAAGAACACTTATATGCACGTAGTAAATTTTAAATAATAAATCAGTATAAAAGGAATTTTAAAGTAAAGAAAATATTGTGCAAGAGTCATGCAGTACAGACTCTTGAAGGGCAGTCTTAACAGCAAATAAAATATTCTTTGGTTGATATTCATTAGATATTATTAGATATTCACTCTCACTAATAATGAGAATATGAGGGTTTGTGTTAAATAGTCATGCGTTCTTAATCTGCATCTCAATATCAATATGTATTTGTTTGTATACTCCTACATGCTCATGTATATGTACCCCTAAAGCTAACTGTGAATATTTCGGAAAACTGAGAAATTTAGAGTAAAATTTCAACTTGGAAAAGTTTCAATAGTGTTATCTTGCCTGTCTTATAATTTAAATATTGAAGAAGATTATAAAGATAAGTATGCTTTAAAATAAGAAAGAAAAACTGACTGCATGCTTTTTGGTTTTCAGCTGTAGCAGGAAAAAAAACCTGTGCTGTTTTAAAATGCTGGCTTTCTGGACCGTCCTGCCAGCACAAACTCTGACTCTTTCTGGCAGGGGGTCCAGCTACAGAACATTTGACTGTGGTTTGTGAGCAGACTGCTGCAGCTTGCTTGCTGGCAGGGACCTTGAAACACCATAGAACTGTGGCAATAAACATGGCTACAGCCAGTACCTCCACCATGAGGCTGGAATCTCAGAAAACTATGGAATGGGCAGGATCCAGCCACCAGAGCCACAGCTTTAATCCTCGCCATATTGCTTAGCAAATTAAAGTCTCATGTGGTCAGAAAAGGAGAGATATACAGTAAAGAGAGACTCAAAGACATAGAAAACCTCTAAATGTTTTACAGTGTGTTAAAAAGATATGCAGGCTTGGGACAGAAAAGAAAAAGGTTGAAGTCTTTTTTTTAAAAAAAAAGCATAATTGGGTGTGGTGACACACACCTTTAATCTCAACACTTGGAAGACAGAGGCAGGCAAACCTCTGTGAGTTCAAGGTGTGGTGGCACACAACTTTAATCCCAGAACTTGGAAGGCAAAGGCAGGCAGATCTCTGAGTTCAAGGACAGTCTGGTCTACAGAGTAATTTCCAGGAAAAAGATACACAGAGAAATTCTATTTCAAAAATCTAAAAGTTAAAAATAAATATAAAAGAAATAGATGTTGAAATAAAGCCACATAAATATGAAAATACACAGAGAGTTTGGATACTGTATGTTATTATGTTCTCTTTGAATTGTTTGAAGGCTGAGGAAGGAGCAACAGCTGCTAAAAAATATTTGTTTATAAATTCTGCTAATTAATCCAAGATAGGTATTTTGAAAATACCTTGAATTTAAAATTGAAGCCAGAAGGTATGTTACTTTGGAGAAGAGGATTTGCTTTTGTTTCCACAGGAAAAGAGAAGCTGTGGATTCATTCAGAGTTAAGAAAATTCAGGTTTGATCAAGGAAGACTACCTGAAAAATCTACAGTAGAAACAGATGGCCCAGATGTCAGAGTTCTACATCCAGAACAGATTCAAGATGCTGCCTGAAATGATCAAGCCTCACAGGATAGTCCCAGTCAGGACTTGATCATAATTCTAAATTTTCTTTAGGTCTCCATAAGATTATCAGCACCCTCAACCAGCAGGAAGTAGCCTGGAAAACTATGTCCACATTCAGAAAAATTGGACTATGGATATTTTCCTTTATTTAAAAAAAGAGGGGGAAGTGGTATGGACAATTGTATTCTGTCAATTATATTTTAAGTAAACGCTGATTGGCCAGTAGCTAGGCAGGAAGTATAGGCGGGACAACCAGACAGGAAGTAGAGGTGGCTGAATGAGAACAGGAGTATTCTGGGAAGAAGGAAGCTCTTTCAGCAGTTGTGAGCCTGCCATAGAAGAAGCAAGATGTGACTGTCTCGCTGAAAAAAGGTACCAAGTCATGTGGCTAGCATACACTAGAATATTATGCTAAAGTAAGTTATAAGAGTTAATAAGAAACCTGAGCTAATGGGCCAATCAGTTTATAAGTAATGCAGACCTCTGTGTGATTTCTTTGGGACTTTAATGGTTGCAGGAACAGGGCAGGACAGAAAATCGGACAACTGTAATGTTTCTCTACAAATGTTTTAAATCCAACAATACATGCTGTGTATTCCCTCATGCAGTATGTATATATGGCACTATGAATGGTTTAATAAAAAGCTAAATGGCCAATATCTAGGTAGGATTACTGGGGCAGAGAGAATGCTGGAAAGGAGGGCAGAGTTTCATGGAGATACACAGAACAAGCAGCATGGACTTTACAAAGTAAAGGTAACTGAACGACATAAAGCACATATATGAAAAGATATGGGTTAATTTAAATTATAAAAACTAGCTAGAAACAAGCCTAAACTATAGACTGAGCTTTCATAATTAATAAGAGGTCTCAATGTAGTTATTTGAATTGGCAGGTGGGTAAGAAAAATCTGCCTGCAAATATAGTATAAGTTGTTAATTAAGAAGTCATGTATTTCTCAAGTGCTTAGAATACACTAAAAATAAAATAATAATGATGATTGTGGTGATAATTATGTTGGTGATGATGATAAAACACATTAGCCAGTCATATGGCATATGTCTATAATTCCAGCACTCAGTAGGTAGAGACATGAGGATTGCTATAAGTTTAAGGCCAGCCTGGACTACAGAGAGAAATCCTTCCTATGATTTTTTTAAGCAATTAAATATTTTTATTGCTTTCTGAAGATCTGATATTTCTGCTAGCTTCAATTTCTAGGGCCAACACTCAACAAAGACCCTCTTTCTTACAGTAACACTGTGTCCACTTTTCTTAATAGCAAGAAAACAAAAATCCAGGGAAGTTCTTAGGAAACAATACTCTCCCTTGATGTACCTTGACAGTGTCTGCCAGAGCACAGGAGGAGAAGAGCTGAGCTGACTGCACCCTCAGTGGGTCTCCTCTTTGGTAGGAGAGCAGCCAGAGAAGAAGGTGCTATTGCTGGCCAGAACTCGGTTCTTCTTCTTCTCTGTAGTCTTATTTTCTTGGGATTCTGTTGCTCTGTGTTTTATGTCTGACACATCTAAGGAAACTGTAAGAGCCATCGTCCTTAACAGAACCTGATCCATATCACATGTCTCTTTTTGGATCTTGGTATTGGGAGTGGCACAGATGGAGTTGAAGAAGCTCAGTCCTGGGACCACCTCTGTAGGATCCTCCAGCTTGAAGGAGCCTTCAAAATCCTGGTTCCACTCAATAGCACCCAAGCAATCTTGTTTTTGCTGATGGTTCTGAAACTTTGTGTGGTCACAACCACTGGCCCCACTGCAGATCACTCCTTGTTTCCTGCACCCACAGTGTTTGTTCCTGCACCATCCCCTGCAGGAACACCTGTGGATGGTCTTCCTGGGCACTTTAGCCAGTTTCCTTGGTTTCCACTCCTCATCTTCAGCATCACCATCTTCAGACTCATTTGTAGAATGCGCTGAATGATACTTCAGATCCTCAGTGTCCATGCTCTGTTCCAGGAACTTGTCTCTAACATGGGATGGTTTGGGTGGAGGTGGGATGTAGTCAAAGGAAGAATCTGGAGATTGAAGGCTGCCATGCTTGGGAAGATGAGATTTCTGGCCTCTGGGCCCTTGAAGAAGGGTCAGTTTCTGTCTGGTGGTTTTATTCTCTTGGAGAACCTGCCGATTTTGCTCACATCTTTCTTGCATTTTCCTAAACTGTTCTTCCTGACACTGCGAGGTGTTGAGCAGCTGCTGCTCCTTTCCCCAGTGGATGCTGTGTCTCCCTGTTTGTCTTTGCTGCATCTGACTGGGGAGGTAGAGCACCTTCTCCTGGTGCTTTTGCTTCACTTTGAGCAACTCAGCTTTCAACCCTGTCTCTAGTACAACAAGATGATTCCTCTCCTCAAACAGCATCCCCTGCATTTTAGAATAGCTGGCCTGGCTCTGTTTCAAGTTGCTTTCAAGCTTGCTGACCCATAGTCTGGAGGCGACCAGCTCTTCAACCAAATATTTTAGTGCACATTTGACTTCCAGAGTAGCAGCAATAGTCTCCCAGTGCCATTTTGATCTGTCTTCACTTTCTGCATCCAGGAGCTTTTGCTGTAGGTCAGCAACCTGAGCACTTCTGAGTTCCATTTCAGACTCTAGACTGTTAATCTGCTTTGTGATAGCATCCTCTGGCTCTGAATCCTGACCACAGCCTTCATCACTGGCCAATGTGCTCCTCTGGAGCTTAGGTGGTGGGTTCTCCCCAGGTTTCTTGCTTTCTTTAAGTTGAGCCACATCGAAGGCTAGGATCTTTTGCTCTTCACGAAGGTCATTCAGATGGCACTTGACTTCCTCAATACTGATCATAACTTCAGTTTCTTTTCTAAGCCAGTTCTTCACTCGTGCTTCTGTGCCTTCTATTCCGCGGGTCTGAGTTTCTTTCTGTTTTTCTGCAGCTTCCTATTGCCTTTGGTGGTGGTGGTGGGGGTTCCTTGAAGCATTTGTGGGCAGCTGCTGCCTCTTCTGTTTTCTGCCTGAGCACATTGGACTGTTTCTGGAAAAAATCTCCTTTACATTTAAGCAGCTCATATCGCCTTTTATGGTCTTGTTGTTTTAGCTGGATTACTTCTTTGTCCTTTTGTTGCTATTGGGACAGTTTCATTCAGTCTATGCACAGATTTGTAAAAATGACATTTAATCCATTGTCTGTCAAACTGAGTGAACTGACTGTATTTGTCCCCATTATATCAGTTACAACTGCCTGTTTGTTTTCTTACTGTCATTGTCTTGGTTGAGAACTGGACATTGTAGGTAACATGTGGCAACTCTGGATTCTGGTTGGTTCTTCTAAGAAATGCTATTGTTACTGTTAGTCTAAGCAATCTGTTTCCTTGGTTAAAGAAGAAAAGAAAAACTGCAAACTGTCTCCCCTGTTGTTCTGCTGGTTAATGTCCTACTGGTTTTTTGGCTTCCATTACTTTTCTTTTCAAGCTGTTCTGGGAGTGTTCTCTACTCTGGTGTTGCAGCAGGATTTAGATGTGTTTACTATGTGAATTTTAGAGCTCCCCATTCTTACTGCTCCCCTGTTCCTGGGTTTCCCCTCCTAAATTTCCAAATGCTCTGCCAGCCCCATGTCTGGACTCTGACTTACCAAGTCAGTAAAGCTTCAGTTTTGTGCTTCCTGGGCTGTTTCGGCATGTGGCCATATAATTATGTATATCTTACTAGCATTGCCATCAACCTGCTATTACAAACAATGATGCAAAATATCCTTCAATATGTGTACATGTGTGTGTGTGCGATTTCAGACACGTGATGTAACACATGAAAAAATTCCCCAAAGCAGTGAAATTTGCTATTGAAAACCACTTATCTATGAATATATGTACAGATATTTGGATATTTTTGACTAATTTTATTTTTTTAAAATGTTTGGCAGAATATGTGTTATTAATGTTGTAAAATAACGTAAGCTGATATCTTCTTTCTTCCAGTTCAACAATCGGGTTCTCTGGGTGTTGAACATTCCTAGAAGAAGCATCACAGTAAGAAAAGGTAAAGGGGATCTGAAGTAATTCTTTTATTTCTGGGTCTTTGTTGCTAAACTTAGCAAATCAAAGCACGGACTTCATGTAATAAATTACACCTTACCTCATGCATTGTGTGGCAGTCGGCTACTGGTGAGACACAACACACGTGTCTACTCACTCCAGAAAGGGAGCAGGCTACAGACCAAAGTGTCTGTTTTGCGGAACCAGAGAGTTTTTTCAGGGGCTTGCTAAGCTAGCTGTGAGGGGGGTTAATCATGAGGAACAGGGATAACTCAAGTGCAGCTGCATTACCAGAAAGCCCACCCTAGCATGAGGGTGACTCCCTGAAACTTGCAACCCTGTAGCTTTCTACAAGCTTGTGCAGCCCCACAGTCAGGACATCTCCCTCTTTCCTAGGATATCTAGTCCTCTACACCTGCAACAACTGTTTACGCCCCTTACATAGGTGGGTGGAGGCACGCAAGAATCTTCCATGTTTTTGTTCTGGATTTGTACCCTTTTGTTTACCTGCTGAAACTGGTGAGCCAAGGCTTGCCTGTCGGTACCCAGGTTTTTTCCCCTTTGCTCGAGGTACTATGCGGGGGGCCATTTTTTCTCTGACTTCCTGGTTTCTCTGCTCGCTGCACCAGCCTGAGGGTTTAGCTTAGAGAGAACTCGCCCTCTTTTGTTATGGTAATTCCACCTGCAGGCAAGGTTCCTGCTGCAGCTGCTCTCTGACCTTGGGTGCAGCCGCCTGACTTCCTCTTTCCCTGTTCCGGATGGGAGGAGGCTGTTGTCCTTCTGCCCCATAGTATATATGCCCGACTTGTGCTTAATAAAGTGGCCATTTACTCCTTTGGTGAATGAGCCTGGTCTCTCTGTGTGTCTGTTCAACCCTTAGGATATTTATCCATTCTCATGGACTCGGTTTGGGAGGCGCGCACCTGAATCGGGTGTGGGAATTCACAGAAGAGTGCAGGCAACACTTGCCCCTGGAGGAAATGTTTGAGTTGTAGAGAATGTTACAGTTTGGAGGAATGTTCCATACGACATCACATAAATGCCTGATATACTTGTGTGGAACATACTAATAATTATTTGTGGTTTATCTGAAGTTCAAATTTACCTGAGCGTTTTATCTGGCAGTCTTTTTTGTTTGTTTTTTTTTGTTTGTTTTTCGAGACAGGATTTATCTGTAGCTTTGGAACCTGACCTGGAACTATCTCTTATAGAGCAGGATAGCCTTGAACTCACAGAGATCCACCTGCCTCTCCCTTCCAGTTCTGGGATTAACGGTGTGCACCACTCCTGCTCAGCTTCTCTGGCAGGCTTACAAACTGACTTGGCTAACATGTTTGTATTATATAGCACTCTCTCTCTCTCTCTCTCTCTCTCTCTCTCTCTCTTTTTCTCTCTCTCTCTTTCTCTCTCTCTCTCTCTCTCTCTCTCTCTCTCTCTCTCTCTGTGTGTTTGTATTATATAAATGATACCATTCTTTATTTAAAATGAAATCATTTTCTAGAAGTTGGAGAGTATTATATTGTGGAAATTGGGTCTTGATGCACTTTACTGAAATGAAATTAATCTAAAAATATTACAGGATGTAATATATGATGTATTACTTTGTTATGGAATCTACTCATAAGTGGTATGTAGAGCATAGTATTTCACATTGGTCTAAATACCCAGAGGAAGAAGAGGAGGAATATCAAATTCCAGGATTTATGAATATTGAGCTAATGGATCAAATTAATACCTCTTCAGTCATGGGATATACTCCCATATGTGAAAAATGGTCAGACTCATATGTTATATTCAAAATAACCACTATTTTCCCTATGGAAAATAAAAATATTTATTTTATTTCATTTTCATCTCAGCATCACCCTGTCTCAGCCATCGTATTTGCCTATAGCCTTTCTTCTAGAAATGGGACATTGAGAGAATTCCTCTTTCAAAAGTTGTCATGTGGACTGGTGCTGTTATTTAGTATTCAGATTTGTTTTGGCTACCATATATTTGAGATTTCAGGAATGAGTGTAGCTTCCCTGTCATGCAGAAGATACAATCTTGCAGCCAGCAACCCGGTCCTCACTAACTTTCACAGTCTTTCCACCACCACACCAGTGGTTGCACAATGTTCTCTGAGCCGTAGGTGTAGGGCTGTGTTACACATGTAGTGGGCACCCCCTGATCTGTTGATCTCTGCATTTTGACCAATTAAGGCTTTGTATAATAGTCTTTGCTGCAAAAAGAAGCTTCTTTGATAAAAGGTAAGGGGTACATATATCTGTAGCTATAAGGGTGAGGATTAAAAATACAGTTAGAAGTCAGATTTGGTGGTACACACCTTTAATTCCAGCACTCAGGAGGCAGGGGCCAGCAGATCTCTGTGAGTTTGAGGCCAGCCTGGTCTACAAAATGAATTCCAGCACAGATTTTGCTGTTACACAGAGAAACCCTTTCTCAAAAAGAAGAATAAGAAAATGTACTTAGAGATTATAGTGACTGCAAAAATAGTAGGAGGAGGTCCTCTTCCATATTCCATGGCTTCACCAGCTCCAGGTAGTTAGCTCAGTGTACAGTAACCAGCATTATGTTCTCCTCCTGTATGAGCCTTTAGTCCAGTTAGTCAGCTGTTGTCCACCCCCAAGATATAAGTGCCACTCTGGCACCTCTAGGGATAGCCTGCCCTCTTGGTATTTGTTGTGGATTTTAGGCAACACAACTTGGAAGGACTATTGATTGGGTTTCTCTCTTGGCAGTTTGCATAGGTCCTTCCATTAGGTGATGGCTAGTCCTCATGGAGGAAACTTTGGATCAGACCCAGGTTGATTCCTTCAAGTTGTGCACTGTGTAAGGATATATTGCTGTGATTGGGTTAATGAAGAGCTGAACAGACAATAGCTAGGCAGGAGATACAGACAGGTTATCCATGGAGAGAAAGGAAGAGGAGGAGGAATCAAGAGACAGGAGAAGCCAGGATACACAGAAGGGAAATAGGAGGTGCAAGATAGAAGAGAGGTAATGCCACGTGATAGTCTTAGATTAAAATAAATGAGTCAATTTAAGTTATAAGAACTAGTTAAGAACAAGCCCAAGTTATAGGCAAAGCTTTCATAATTAATAAGAAGTCTCCATGTCATTATTTGAGAGCTTGCTGGTGGGACAGAGATTCATTACATAATATACCCAATGTGGGACTCAAATATCCAAATATAGGGCCTGAAAAAGCTAAGAAATATTCTAGACAAGGAGCCAGATGTCGATTCCTAGTCCTGCAGTCTCTCAAGTGGCCAGTGCACAGCAGCATACAGAGACGTGATTCCCAGGTGCTTCCTGAGGGCTGGAAACAGCTGCCAGTGCCGTGCACCAGTGTGATGTGATAAGCTGAGTTGTTTGGCAGGTGACACAGCAGTTTAAAATTTGAATCACATGGTAAGATTATGCTGTAGGCACTTAATAAAGCCAGGTTCAGACACAGCAAAACTTTAAAAATATACAGTATGTTTAAAAACTTGCTTAGTTACTAGAGAAAGAAAAGAAAATGGGTATAGACAGTCATAGAAAAAATAGTTTGAAAGTAATCAGGCAAAAATTTTAAAGAGTAAAGTAATATAAAAATATAAAGCCACATAAAGATGGGAAGTGCATAGGGCACCTGATCCTGTATGGTGCTTTGTTGACTTTGAATTTTGGAATGTTGATGAACAAATGGCGACTGTTGAGAACATAGTTTGATGATGGATGCTATAAAAAAAATCCCACACTAGCTCATAATCAAGTGTAATAAAGGGTTTTTTATTCAGGAGTAGACTCACAAATCATGGTTCTCTGCACAAACAGGGAACAGGAACCAAATCCAGCAGTGGAGAGAGAGTGTACATGCAAGATTTATGCATTTACAGTATATGAGACTATGCCCAAGTGGGCTGGCATCTTAAAAGCTATTGACTGAAGGAGTTCCCACAGCAATTCTCTCTTTTGTCTAAATAAGAGAGTTGTAAGCCTAATATAAAACTATATACAATAGGAACAAATATCAAGTATAAAAATTAGAATCACAACCAGCATAAACAATATCAAGCAAGAAACATATGCTAAATGTTTTCATATAATTATCCTGTCCTAAGGAGTTTAAGTCTTGTTTGTTTTAGAAATGGCTTGGACAAGTCATGACAGGAAAGTAACTACAACTCTCTAGTCTTCAGCCTCATTGAAGACCTGAGAAGGGAAATAATATTGCTTTAGTATACAGGAAGTGCAATCAAGCAACTTCCAAAATGTTCAATAAATGACACAGACAATTGGCTACCTGGGCAATCACCCAAAGTTTCATTTGCAACATTGGAGCAACCAACTTTGTCTAAGGCCTAGAGTAACTGACAGACCATTTTCATAGGCAGGAAAAATTTCAAAACTATCTTCTCCTGTCTTGGCAAGATTTGACAGTCTTTTTTTTTGTATCTTCCTTGTCCTGTGCAGACACCATGAAGTTTGTCAGTGGTCGAGGCATGGACAGTTCCTTGCCCAAATGCCAGTTTTGCCAAAAGGAAAATAAGTTCCAAGTAGGGTGTCTTCAGTGCTCAACATTCTCTTGGAAATAGATTGGTGCTGCCAGGAGCAATTGTGTCTAAGTCAACAGAATCCTAATGTGTTTAAATGCAATATTCTACAGTTCTTTGAAGTGGATGAAGGTTACCTATCTATGTGGAATACAGTCTCTATGTATCTAAAGAACCTGATTAGTCTAACTATAAGTATAACAAACATGGATGACTATTGACCTATAATTCTTAATATCTACATAACTTAAAAACTAAGACTTTATATTCAAATATTAAGCAAACTTTAAACAACTGTGCAGTACATGAGGACAATGACCTCAAAATGTAAACAATGTATAAGTATCTTTATCAGAGTTAGAAATATATAATGCAATATGATGAATATATCTTAAAATTGTATCAATATACAAAATGTCTTAAGCAGAGGTAGAAGTATGCATGCACACTAAAAATTAATTTGTCTAGGTATACAAATATTGCAAACAGGAATAGGATCATATTCAATATAATTTGAAATTGTAGCATTATACAAGGATCTATACCAATGTAAATTGCCTATAAATAATAGTTCACAAGTGTTCACTCTATTATTCACTTTTATTACTAGTGTGAGTAAACTCACATTAATATACCTATTGTCCCATCCAATTTCCTTTCTTTCCCAAAGAGATCCTGAGCCTACAAAGTTTCCACCCCAGTACCCAACCCCTAATTGATGTCCTTAACCATGAGGAAAAGCTTTGTTGGGAGAGAGGATATCATCTTCTAGAATTACTTCTAGCTGTCATGGGGGTGATGTTCTTTCAATGGGATCCTGTAAAAGTAAAATGCTGATTAACTTTCATGATTACTGGCTGGTGTAATTGCAAATAGTCTCTGAGTAGTTTATAGGGTTTTTCTTAGGTTCTTTGTAAGGAGTCGTCTGATTATCGCCATTACAAGATGGTGCCGGCAGGTCCTGCAGCTTGGAGGTAAACAAGTCCTTATTTGGTATTCCCGCATGGGGCTGAGCGCCCTTTGCCTGTACATGCGCAATTGAGGCTTGTCCCTGGCCAATCCCGAGGCTTCGGGCATCAGCAGACTGGTATACACCAATCAGTACAGTACCCGAGTCCCTTCAACCTATATAAGCAGATGCCGCTTGGCCTTCGCTCTCTCTCACTTTCTCTTTCTCTCTTCTTGTTCTCTTTCACTTCTCGTTCTCTCTCACTTCCTGCTCTCTCTCACAAGGCATTACAGAAACATCAGGACAGTCTTTCAGAATCAGATCATAAGGAGGAGGATAAGGATAGGCCTAAAAGAAAAAAGGAAAAATCAAAGGAAAAGGATCCGGAAATAGTAACAAAAGAAAAGGGGAAGAAAAACCCCATAAGTCTAGTGCTGGAGGAGTTTATAAATCTAGATTTATCAGAGGAGGAGTTAGATCCTCAGGAGGAGAAGGATCTTGAGGAAGCAGCCGCTAGATATGAGAAAGAGCAGTATGACCAAAGGTGGGGCAAAGATGATGTGTTTAAGAAGGGAAACGGAAGACCCGTGGCGCCAGTGGCTTCCGCCCCTCCCCCGTCTTCCCCTCCACCCACGTACTCGCCAGTGGCAACAGAAGGCTACAGTTTAATAGGAAGGCAGACTTGGTCGCGTTTGGCGACCGCCTTCCCTGTTTTTGAAGATGTGCACACTCATGCTAGATGGTATGAGCCAGTGCCTTACAAACAGCTTAAGAATTTGGTTGAAGCTGCAAAATACTTTGGAGTAACTGCCAGTTATACAATCACATTATTGAGAAGGATTGCTACAGAAGCACTGACGCCCACAGACTGGCAAGAGATTGCGAGAGCAGCTCTTCCGCTGGGGCAGTTCCTGGATTTTAAATCCATTATCCAGGACAGAGCTCAAGTCCAAGCGCACATAAACATGCAAGGTGGCCACCCAGAGTGGAAGGCCGACATGCTTCTTGGACAAGGGCCATTTGCTGGAAATCAGATTAATTATCCTTTTGAGGTTTATCAGCAGGTTAATGAGATTCATTATAGAGCATGGAAATCACTCCCTAATAAGGGTGAAACGGCTGGCAACCTGACCAAGATTATTCAAGGCTCTACAGAGTCATTTTCTGATTATGTGACTATAATGACAGAGGCAGCTGAAAAAATAATTGGTAATTTGGACACATCCATGCCTTTTGTACAGCAGATAATTTTTGAACAAAGCACCAAAGGATATCAAAGAGCGATAGTTCCAGTAAAGGGAAAAGGGTTAGAGGCCTGGATAAGAGCCTGCTGTGAGGTAGGAGGGCCTCTGACCAATGTGGGACTGGCGGCTGCTGTGCTCGCTGCCGCTAGAGGCGCCAGAGGGGATAAGGGGAAGGCATGCTTTAAATGCGGACAGTTGGGGCACTTTAAAAGATAATGTCCCAATAATAATAATGCCTCAGATTCTTCAGGGCCCTCAGCATCAACATCGCAGAGGCAGCCAGGTACTTGCCCCAGATGCAAAAAGGGGAAGCATTGGGCCAACGAGTGCAGATCAGTTAGGGATATAAATGGACAACCTATTCCTCAGGCTATTCAATCAGGGTCAAAAAACGGATTAAGGGGCCCAAGTCCCCAGGGCCCAAAAATATTTGGGGCAATTCAGAGCTCGATG